TGTACTTTCTATTTCCATTCATTGAAAATAGCCAACTCTGTTAATTAATCACACCCCATTCCCTAGGCATGCTGCATATTCTGCATCTCTATTGCTGTATGACAAACTATTTTATAACTTAGCAGCTTAAAAAACAATCATTTTATTCTATTTTAAGAGTTTCTGGGTGAAGAATTTGAGCAGGACTCATATGGGCAATTCTTCTGTGCCATATGGTATCAACTGGGATGTCTCAGCAATGGTAGGCTAGTCTGGAGGTTCCAAGACAACTTTATTCATATGCATGGCACCTTGGCAGGGACAGATAAAAACACTGAGCTCAGCTGGATCCCTCTCTCTCCATTTACTCTAAGGCCCTCTCCACATGCCTCTCTACCATGGTACTCCAACATGTTGCATGGTATCTTGAAGCTCCAGTAGCATGTGTTCCCAGAAACAAGAAGTGGGAATGGTATCTCTCTTAAGGCCTGAGCCTGAAAACAGAACACTTCTTGTGTCAAAGTAGTCTGTAGCCCATCCAGATTCAAATGGGGTGGGGGACATAGACCTCATCTCTTGATGAAAGGAGTCTCAAAGAATTTGTATCCACCTTTAATCTGTCACACTGGGAAAAAAATAATTGTCTGGAAGCACTTTGTTGCTCATCTGCCATGTTTTTAATTATACCTGGTTTACCTTACACCTATAATGAAGTTAATTCATTAAAACAATTGTCATACTACACTGAGAGGCAGTGTAGTGGTTAGGAGCATTATAGTTAGACCAGCCTAGATTTGAATCCTAGTTCTACTTCTTACTGGCTTGTAATCTTGGTCAAATAACTAAATACTCTGAGCCCCAATTTCTGTATAAAATGAAGGATTATAATAGTAGCTAGTTCACAGGCTTACTGAAATGTGATTATATAAAATGCTTAGCACAGTGTCTAGCACATTGTAAGCACCCAGTAATTTGGGTGTTGATAATTGGTGATACAGCATTGTAACTGCATGGATGTTTCTAAACTAGACTATGAGGCCGAGGATTTTGCCTTACTCATTCTCTCAATCCCAACACCTGGTACAGGGCCTGGCATCAAACTATTAACTGGATGGACATATGGATGACTGGATGGCAGCATAGAAATGGTATGTGCCTCCAGTGTAACTCCCTGGCTCAAATGCGTAAAGAGAACAGAGGATGATTTTACTTCCAGGTAACTACTCTAGGTTGAATGAGCCCAAGTTGCTAGGGAGCAGGAATATTTAAGGCTACACTGAAATATTACTTGAAATCATGTAGCAGAGCCACAACTCAGAGGAGCAAGCTGGCCCAACTAACAAAGCATTCGTAGCATCTCTAGTAAGCTGGGATTTGGGGAAGTTCATGAATCAGAAGAGGGAATACAAACCAATGTCTTATGACACTTCCAGGCTTGGCGATGCCAAGAGTCAGAAGGCTGTAGGGAAAAGGTACTAGAAGAAGAGATGTAGAAGCAAAACAGAACAGGGTATTTATTGTGGGAAGGACTTTGGAGGAATACCTTGGCCTTTTCCATAATCCTTATAAAATGATTTCAAATCTCCTTCAAAAGTTTGAATTCCTGTATTGCGTGGAGCACTGGGTGTTATACGCAAACAATGAATCATGGAACACTACATCAAAAACTAATGATGTAATGTATGGTGATTAACATAACATAGAATTAAATTAAAAAATGGGAAAAAGAAAAAAAAACTAATGATGTATGGTGACTAACATAACACAGTAAAATAAAATTTAAAAATAAATAAATAAAGTTTGAATTCCTAACATAAATGTTAATACTATGCACTTGTTAGTGTACTTGTCAAGCCAGGCTGGGGGCCTTGAAGAGGGAGATAATTTCTCTGGTGTTCTATTCCCAATGTATTTTAAATTGTTGGACTTTGATTTTTCAGATTCTGCAATACTTGTTTAAGTCCGATGATTTCAAATGGTTATTTTCTTGGTTGGCATTGGAAATTCACATCGACTTTGGTGCTTAATGGTTGAAGATAAACAAAAGAAATAATCGATGTGTTAGGAGTCTTTGAAATGTCATGTGCAACCTGCCCTCTAGCAAGCCCTGCTAGGCAGTGTAGCCTATGGAACTCTTGGCATATTGAACACAAGGAAGAAAGGGAGTTTATCTACTCTCACTTTAGCCATATGTCATGAATACATTTGCTTTTAAATGAATTTCATAAAATATTAATGTAATCATACCAAACAGAGTGGTGAGTACATCAGTCAGGAGTTATATTTATCCTGTGTATTTGTTTTTTGTTTGTCTCCATTTATTAGTAGACAGTACATGGAGACAGGCATTTCTTTCTCAGCCGAAGTGGCAGAACTTGTTTAATGAACTGATGTTTCTGTAATCTGTGGTAAGGTAGAGTTGTGAGTGACAGAGCTATATGAATAACAATGAGGAGGCAGGCAGAACAATAAAAGGAAGACAAACATTTCAGTTGGAGGGGAAAAATAGATGAAATTGTTTAGTTGGCACACAATCTAATCTGATCTTTTCCTACTGAAAATTAATAGTTTGTAAATGGGTGAGATAATGTTAACAATTTTTCCAAAATCATATACACAAGGAATCAAATTTTCCAAAGACACAAATGGCATTTTTAACCACAGTGCTGTTATTATACAGCATAGAAACACAGGGTATCAGGGGTCTAAGTCCTCCAAGATGGAAAGGAAGACCTAGACCCCCTGCCCCCACCTAATGGAGCCTGACATATTAAAAGCTATCACAAATGCTTGTGGAATGTGGGAATGAATGCCTGAATAAGTGAACTTACTGAATGGAAGGATGGAAATTTACCTATTAGGACTACCACCTATCATGCCAGGTGTTTTCATATCTGTTCTGTCCTTTCATCCTTTGAGCTAAATGTCATCATTTATCCCCACTTTTATCAAAAAAGAAATAGTGCTATGTTACCAGATATTAAGAAACCTTCCCTAAGGTCATGTAACTAGTATGTGGAGGAAACTGGAGATATGAGAGCCACAGGAAGGAAGGAAAGGTGTATGTGTGTGTGTGTGTACGCACACACGCTCACATGCATGTGTACAAGTGCATATTGGGTGAGCTGTAAATTTGTTTTCAGAAAAATAAAATTTCTTCTAATTTCTTGGAAGATCTTTTTTTTTTCTTCCCAAACATATCTGGGGTCTTGATATTTCAGCATGACAGGCATGTGGGAAGATAGGGAATGCTCTAGCTCTTATGGGCTGACTTTACAACGGAGGATGCACACGTGCTACCCGCCTGCCTATCTGCCTGGTCATAAGACTCACCCCTACTGGGCCTATTGTACCTGAAGTTCTGCTTCTCTAGAGACCACAGATTCTTCCCCCTGTTTAGATCTACCCCCTTCAATATCTTAGAAGGCCACCCAGGGGATTCAGAACCAGCCTAAGGACATGCTTATAGGCGTTGCCCCTCAAGTCTTTGTGGTGAGCAGAGTAAGGTTTTTGGGAGTCGGACCTGCTAGTGCTACTTCAACTGCCCCTACATTATCAGAACTCCTTATGCAATACTTTGTTTACAGTCCATTGTGCATTCTGTAGCAGAGGACAACAGTGAGAGGTGGGGAAATAAGGAAGTAGAATGCATTCCCTTCTCTCAAAGAACTTGCATTTTGATATAGAGACAAAATTTAAATGAAATCAGTACCACCCTTACACCCAGGCAAGTGGGACCTTTGCCCTAGGCCCGCATCTCAGGGGACCTCGTGCTTTGAAATGCCTGCCCTGATATTTCTAAGTCCCTGTCCGATGCTAAGGACCAGCCAGGTAGTTAGTGTGATCAGGGTAGGTGCCCTGAGTCCAGAACAGGTCCTATATAAGTTCTAATCTTAAGAAGCACCTTTCTCAAAATTTTTAAAGTTCCTCTTCATTGCCTGGAATTGACCAGGACTTGCACTGTTGTCTGAGCAAGGAGTCCCACTCTCATACTGAACTTATGTGGACCCCAGTCCTCCTTTCTCCTCTTTGGGGCACTCTCCAATCCTCTACCCCACATGTGGAGTCAACCAGATTCTCCAAGAAGCTTCAGAACTCCTGCCTGTGGAGTCCTCCCAGAGTCTTGTTTCCAGGAAGGTAGACTGGTAAGTAAATCACTCTAGCTGCCTGGTGTGACATTTCTCTCATGGTATCTCATGAGATTATGCCACTGAATAGTGTTGATGCTGATTTGGGGTGAATTGAACTGTGTATATAGATGAACCCCACAGAAAAACATTTGTGAGGGCCCCTACACATCCTAGAAGCATCCCTGAATGAAAAGATGATGCAAAATAAAATAAAATTCAGTGGCAACAGATACAGAACAGTTTTTCAACACAGAGTTGAGAATGAACCAGAATTATCTGGAAAAAGTTCTTCAGGGAGAGTGGCCTTGGAGAGTTATTTAAGGCAGGCCTTGAAGTATGGGGAGAATTTGGGGAGGCTCAAATGATTCCAGGCAGGGAGAACAACATGAACAAAAGCACAGAGAATAGTTATTTATTGAGTATTTTTGTGCTATACATTATGCTAAGCACATTACATTCATCATTTTGTTTATTTGTCATAGCTCCCTATAAAGTAAGGGTTTGCAAATGAGGAGATGGAGGTTCAAAAGATTCATCCTGCTAAGCAAATAATAGAAGTAGGACCCAGGTCTGCCTGATTCCCAAAACTGTATGCTCTTAATACCATGCTATACTGCAAAAAGACAAGAAGTGTTACAAGGGAGAGCAAGAAGCCTTGTCTGAATGGAGTGGAGGGTGTGCATTGGGAACTAGTGGAAGGCAAGATCAACAGACAAGGCACAGTCATAGTATGAAAGGCCTTGGATATCAAAATGAGATACAGAGATAAAGAGACTGGTCAAGCAAAAACAAACAGCCCTATCCCAAAAGGAAAATGCACAAGTAGAATATAATATTTAAGACCTGGTAATGCTAATACCATGTTTTCTTAAATATTTTGCCTCTGTCTTAGAAAGATCCTTGGTTTGAAATTTGTAAGGTAATATTCTGCCTCCCCTTGACCTTGCCTGGTGTCACTTATTGTTCTGTCTTTTCTCTCCTTTTTTAGATTTTGATCCTGCTCTTGGAATGATGACTGGAATTCCACCAATAACTCCAATGATGCCTGGCTTAGGAATAGTACCTCCTCCAATTCCACCAGATATGCCAGTAGTAAAAGAGATCATACACTGTAAAAGCTGCACGCTTTTCCCTCCAAATCCAAGTAATATTCTGCTTTTTCTCCACACAAGTCACAATGTTTTGGTGTCTAGGAACACTCTTCTTTTTCAGAAGAATACCCAAGGGCTTCATAGATGTATGTATAGAAGCTTCAGCTAGAAAACAGAAGACAGGAAAATTTTCTCTTACTAGGCATGGCTGAATGTTATGCACAGAACAGTAGATTTCTCTGTGCTGGTTGCAGTACAAATGATAAAACGTGTTTCTAATGCCATCTGGTAAGGCATTCAAGTGTGTTCGTATAGAAAGAGACACCTGACACAAATTGTTCAACACTGTTATTTACAGACTCTCTTTTTCATAACTGGCCTACATGCTGATGATGGCAGTAATAGAGTGTGTCTGAGCCTACCTGAGGCACATGAGAATATACATTTGGTGCTAAGAATCCTCCACTGCCACCAGCTATTCACACATCACTCCAACTACTGCTATTCAACTGATGGGCTGCGACAGACAGTGGGGTGAGGTTTAACTTGCAATGAAGGCAAAGAGGAATACTGAGACTAAGTCAAACCACTTGCATCCATCCAATCAATGAAATTCATGTGGAAATGGTCTAGGGATCTATCTTGTCGGTAATGAATAGGTTTCTCCTTAGACTCTTAAAAACATCTGCAAAGATATGGTGGACATATTTCACTTAAAATATAGCAGCAATATTGACTCAAACTTTTTTTTCTGGATATATTTGGGGTTTTATTTACTTTAAGCGATCAGAAGTTATTTCTGCCCATGACTCAAGCCTCATTAAAGCTTTTTCCATGATTCTAGTGGTGGTGCTGGATGGCCTACTTAAGGGAGCTGCCACCACAGTGCTGAAATTAAAGCTGTTAAGGGACACATTCAAGGGTTCAGGCCATAGATCAAATGAACTTGCCTTATCACAATAAACATAACTTTTGACATGTGACTTCAGACAACTATTTCATCTCCCACCTTACATAGGAATCAGTTAATCATGGAATCAGGCCCTGGCAGGGACCCAGATTCTACTTAGGATAGTCTGCTCACAACCAAGAGGATTTTAGAATTAGTCAGGGTTGGTTAGACAAATCACCTTGGTCCCTTTTGCTAGTGAAAAATGTTCTTAATGCCTTCTTCAGGTCTTTGAACTTGATCGTCAGCAGGGTACTTCCTTCCAGGCCAATAAGAAATCTAGGAGGCTAGCATCTCGGAGGACTGAATTGGGAGAAGAACTAGTATGTCACAGGAGAATTAGGGAATGGAGAATAAGATGGCCTGCCAGCTCAAGTGGCCATTCCTGGATTTGTGTTTAGTGCCTAGGTGAATGAATGGCACTGTTGTACCCTTGTCTCTTACTCTTACTGCCACTGTCCTTACAAATGGGCAGCGGACTTTTTTCCCTGTCTTCCTGTGTGTTGCTTTTGGATTAGAGAGAGCTGTGCATCACTGATACTACCTTTTTTCACTTCAAAAGCCATGAATTCAGGCATTTCCAGTGTTAAAACCTCCTACGTATGTAAAGGTAGAATCCTGCTGGTTTAATCATCCATTTATTACATAATCAGCGTGCACTAGGCTTTCATTGTCTCAATCAAGTCCACTGTAACAGGATGGCTCATAACCTGTAATATCTTGGCTGGGTAGAAGTGATGACTTTATAGGCTATTCAGTTGCTGAATTTCCAAAGAATAACAGATACCTTGTGTATAACACATAGACCATATTGCTGAGCAGTCTTTAAAAGAATACAGACATACACAGCTTAAAGAGGCTCTAAAATTTTTTTATGAGGCTCTAACTTTTTGATAGTCTCTAGGAAAAGAAAGAGACAGACATCTCTCAAATACATTTATCTTTCCCCACCTACACCATGCCTTCGCAGTTCTGAGCTGGAAGGGCCACAGAGTGAAAGGGAACATTTTACCTTCATAGCTCAATCCTTTAGTTCTTCATCTCTGTGTTAAGAATACAGACAGAGCAATTAGTGCCAGTAAAGTGGTGGCTTCTGGGAAGGAACCTGGCTTTGGATTGAATTAAAAACAGACCCTCCTGACATAGCTTAAAGTAAACTGGTGTTCTATTTCCTGTTTAGAACTTGGATTTTTTTACAAGGGGGCTCAGGTTAATTGCGTGGGGGAAAACGCTAATGGAGAAGACTCCCTTAGTTCTGTGCTGAAAGCATGGCAAGTATGATTTTTGTTAACACCCCAGACTATGAAGGTGTGATGGGAAGAGGGATTTGGTATGCCTGAATCCCTTATCTTCTCCAGAGCCTACCAACCTTGTCTGCTAAGGCCTTGATTATAAACCCCAGCACTTAGCCTGCCTCTGCTATATTCTGCCTCTGTCTCTGATATATTCTCTTGCACTCAGTGGCCTCTCAAGCAATAAGGTCCTGTGATCTCACAGTCTCTTTATGCAGCCATCGAATCTGCTTCTGTCTTGCTTCATTAGAAAGCATCTTTACCATCAATTCCTTACCCCCATCCCACCTGACACTTCATCCAGGTTCTTGTCACATATACAGAACCCAAAAGTCCTGGGGCTCCCATTACCCACAAATGCCAAGTCCAACTCCTGACTTCAAAAACCTTTCACTGGTATGCTTCATGTGACTGTCTTCGATCCATCATTTCTACTTGCCACTTACCCACCCCTTAGTCAAGTTCAACTGCTTCCCAGTATTCCATTCCTCTCCAGCCCAACTGCAAGCCTATCTTCTCCTGGAACATTTCCATGTGGAAGATACTGAAATTAACACAATAGTTAATCATTCATCTCTCTAATGCATTTTCACTTAAATATTGGGTGCTAGGTCCAATGAATAATTTTTACGCCTTAAATTACTTTATTTCTCTCCTATTTTTAGTACTGGTGACCCCTTCATCCTTCTTGAAACAATACGTCATTTGAAAGTGTAAGAATGACCAAGACCACTAGAGAGATTATATAGCTCAAGAAAGGATGACAAACAACCAAAGTGCCCTGAGGAATTCCAACATTTTAAAATTTAAAAGAGGAGTTTGCATTTCTGTACAAAAGCCCTCTTTACTAGCTGTTTCCAGTTTTTTTCAATTCTCTTTTAAATCTTCTTCATTTATGCTTTTGCCCTACCCCTCTTTCAAAATGCCCCTTGTTTAAGAACTCTAGTGACTTTATAATACTAAATCCAATAGTCAATTCTCAGTTCTCTTCCTAAATGACCTAATAGCCATATATGACACAGTTGGTTTCTCCTTACTCATTGGTATACTTTTTTACTTGGCTTTCAGAATATGACACTATTGGTTTTCCTCCCACTTCAGCTGATAGACCTTCAGCATGGAGAGGTTGCATTTTGAGTCTATTGTCCAGTTAACAGGAAACGTGGAATAAATGGTGGAATATCACCTGCTATGTACGGGGATGTGGGAAAGCACCCAGGGAGCCAGAAAAAAAAAGCAATTTTTTTCATTTTACTATTTCAGAACAGTCCAACCTCATTTTGGCTCCTAGGGCTGGGTTCTATAAAGAAAATTAGAGAAAGTGGGTAAATTGAGAAGTAATAAAGATTCACCAGTCTTCTGATTATTTCCAATCAGTTGGAATTACATTAAAATATATCTGGCCCCTGCTGATTGTCTAGGAGGCCTTCAGTCTTGGGCTGTCTAATAAAATCAACTCAAAGACTTTGCAGTACATAAATTCTGCCAAACCAGTGGAGTGATATCTGACGCTCCTTTGAAAAGCAAGAAACAAGCAAGTGGTTTATGCCACTTGCTGCCTCCTACCTCACTTCTCAAAGATCAGCAGTGACTCCGATCTTAATGCTGATTGCCCCAAAAGAGCTCCCCAGAGTAGGTGCTTAGTTGTAATTAGAGTTGCTAGAAGCTCCTCCTTTTCCATTACCAGAGATTAAAGTTCTTTATACTCTCAGTTATCTTGAATCATTTTACATGAAGTTTTCTTCTCTATCCAGAGTAGTGGTTGGGGTGTTAAGAGAGTTTAGCACATTACCTGATTAATAGGTGAACTTTGAATTTGCTCTCCTATGGAGTTATCATTGCTGTGCCCAGATCACTATATTTCAGTGGGATTAGAAAACCAGGCCCAGACAGCAAAGTGCTTTGAGCTGCTAATTAAAGTATAAGTACTATCCATTAAGGAAGACAGTACAGCCCATTGCCTTGTTGAGTGGCATACACCTAAATCTCAGCGAATGCTATCGAAGAGGCTTTCTACATTTACCCAAGGAAAATAAATAAACCCCAGCATTCTTGACCCCACTCTTAGTGGCTTTTATGCTTTCTTACTTAGCAGTTACCACAAAATAATCACAGCATCTGAATAGGGTGATGACTTCATCACAGAATTTTTAAATCCCGCAGAATTTTTAAAGGAAAAAGCCTTTGTATTTTCAGTGTTATATGTAACTGTGGCAAAGTAACCAGACATTCCTTAGAGTCTCTCAGTGGACCAAAAGGTAGACCTAACTAAGCAAACTTAAATAATGTAAAAAGGTGATCATTTGCTCCACAAAAAGTTTCTTTACCATCAAATTCCTTAAATAGTAAACTTCAGAAGGATTCTAAAACAGGATTTTTGGCTAAAGCCCTTTTTTTGAAAACATGGCTCTGTGTTCCATGGTCAAAACTATATGTGTCTTCACAGCTGTAGATTCCTCTATTGAGAAGAGTGATTCCTTCCCAAACCAAGCCTTATCTGAAGATCTGGATAAAGCAAGGAGCTGGGAATTTAGAAGTCCAGGTCTTAAGCTACCACTCCACTCCAGACTTGTGGTAGGGCTTTAGAAAGCCTCAGATTGGTAATCAGGAAACCGGGGTTCTATAACAGTAAATAATAATAACACTACAATAACTACTATTTATTGGGAACCTATCAAGTGCTAGGCATTGTACCACTTGCAATATAGACAGTAGATTATCCTACAAAAATCTTTGTAAGGTAGAAGACAGTATCCCCATTTTACAGATGAAAGAATGAGGTTCTCAGAGGTTATGTAATTTTCACAAGGTCCTACAGACAGTTATTAAGTTGAAGTTTAAATCCAAGTTTACCTGCTCCAAGTTCATGTTCCTTCTCTTTCTAATTTGGTGACCTTGAATGAGTCACTCAACCTCACTCAGCTAAGGTTTTCTCTGTAACATGAGAAGTTTAGACCAAGTTTTCAATCCTAGCTTTCATTAGAGTTGCCTGAGGAGGTTTTCAATCCTAGCTTTCATTAGAGTTGCCTGAGGAGCTTTAAAAAAAATAATGCACAGGCTGCACCCAAACTAATTAAATCACTCATTGGAGTGGACCCAAGATTTTTTGTTTGACTCCTAAGTTGAGTCTAATATGCTGTCAGAGTTGAGAATCACTGGAAGTGTGTGATATTAGAATCCTTCTATTTCCTAAAAAAACTCAGAAGCAGAAGTCTCAAGATATTCTGGACCTCATTTTTCCCCTTTTTGGCTAAAATCAAATTGCTCCAGTGCACATGACTAAGACATTTCAGATTCCTGCTCACTAGGTTATCTTCCTTTTCCTTTTAAACTTCTCCTATAGAACAAATACCATACAGTGAGTTCTTGAAATGACAGAAATTTTTAAAATTAACAGAAACTTTGTAAGTTCCCTGAATCCCTTTACCTCTTTTATTGACTAAATAGAGGGGAAGAGAGCATCACGAGAACCTGATTATTCTGAGCCACACTGATAAGACGACAGTGGTAGCAAAGTGAGGAAGCTAGAGATGCTCATACCCAAGGAGGCTCCCAAATCATCCACTTGCCAACTTGGATAAGCGTCAAGTGGGGACCTTGGCCTGCTCTACAAGTGAGACTCATTTATTTTTGCATGGGAGCTGTAATCACTATGTTGAGCTCTCCAAATCTTGGGAGAATTATTGTGAAGAGCTGAATGGAAAGAATGGATTACACAAAATAAATCCTTGCAGATACAAAACCCACACTAAAAAAAAACCCTTGACCCTCATGCTTTGTTTTGTTGGGCTGTGAACTGTAGAATTTTGCTTGGAAAATGCTTGGATACATAGAAATAGCAAGACGGGGCTGGCAGATACAACAGGCTTTATGTATAAGATGAGCGAGTAGAAAGCATATTTTTTTAGCAGAGGGAGAATCACCTCATTAAATAGGTTTTTAATGACTCTCCATGACAAATTTATCTCACTTTAGTTAATAATTTTCCAGATGAGCTTACTTTCTCTGCTGTCTTTCATACTTCCCTCGAAATGCTGCAGGATTGACTCTGGATCTCACCTCTCCAGCCAGAAATTGGAAGAAGGACTCACTGGTATCAAAAGACAAAAAACCTAGAAAGGATGGTTTATAGTCTGGCTGACTTTGTCAGCCAAATCATTCTGGTACCCATAAATATTATTGTAAATGTTTACCCCATCATTGTCAAATTAATTCTGAAACAGTTCTTTCAGTAAGCATGAACAGAGAATTTAGTAACTATAAACTGAATTAAACAACCCTTCTCTCAGGGACCTTGGTTCCGAGAATTCCAGAAAGTAAGAATTTAAAGTAAGTGGGACTTCCCCCCAACTGTCTTATTAGCAAAAATGACTGAAAATTGGGCATAGCTGAGTTGTCACAGCAAAAATAACAGAATTAAAGAACTCTGGATGGGACAGACAGATGGGTCTGAGTCTTTATCATTTAGGCATCATGATCACCAAATCATTGAATAAAATGATTTCCATGTGCTATGGAGCAGAGATGAGTGCCTTAGAGGCCACATGCTTTTGGCACTAGGGCCAAAGTCTGATGGGGACCGAAGGTCTATCTCTGGGACATGTTAGATTTCTAAGAGGTCTGTCCCAAGCAAACATCTTAATTCTTTAATTTAATTTTTAATTTAATTTAATTGCTTTTGCAATTCTGCTCAGATCTTCCACCTCCTGCAACTCGAGAACGACCACCAGGGTGCAAAACAGTATTTGTGGGTGGCCTTCCTGAAAATGGGACAGAGCAGATCATTGTGGAAGTGTTCGAACAGTGTGGAGAGATCATTGCTATTCGGAAGAGCAAAAAGAACTTTTGTCACATTCGCTTTGCTGAGGAATACATGGTGGACAAAGCCCTTTATCTTTCTGGTAGGTGTTTAGTTATGAGCAGTGTGCCCACCAGGCACAGTGCAGAGATTGCGGGTCATTGTATTTGCATCTGTGGCAGATAAAGTTTTTGCTATCCCCTCTTGCCTTCAGAGATGGAAAATGAATGTTTGCACCCAATTTCTTAAAGTTCTTTGGTAGTTCTCAGTTGTCTCTGTTGTCCAAAACTCCTTACTTGTCACATCTAAGGGCCTTGATTATCTGTCTTACCTCACAGCACCATCTCCCAGTTTTTCCCTCACATACCATGTCCTAACCACACTAAGCTAATTCTAGTTCTCAGAATGTGCCATGGTGCTTTATGCTTTTTCCTCTGACTATACTTACGTTTTCCATCCCACCTGCCATATATACATCCTCACACCTCAAACCTCCAGCTCAAGCATAACCTCTTCTAGAAAGCTTTCTCTGACTTCTCTCCCCACTGTGCCTCAGGCTGGTCTGGGCACCCCCTCCTTAGCACTTCCACAGTACCCAATGTTTCCTCCTAGCATGACACCTATAGCACCATGCTAGAACTGTCTCTTTCCACATCTGTCTCCCTGACCAGAGTATGAACTCCTTAAATGAAGGGACTGTGTCTTATTTAACTTTGATACCCAGTATCTAGGAGGAGGGGAGGTCAGTTAGATGCCTGTTGCAACAGGCCAGGGAAAACTTAATGAGGGTTAAAAACTTAATAAAGTTTTTTTATTTTAATTCCAGCTAGTTAACATATAGTGTTATATTAGTTTCAGGTGTGTACAATATAGTGATTCAACACTTCCATACATCACCCAGAGCTCATCCCAACAAGTGCACTCCTTAATCCCCATCACCTATTTCCTCCATCCCCCCACCCACCTCCCCTCTGGTAACCATCAGATTGTTCTCTATTGTTAAGTCTGTTTCTTGGTTTGTCTCTTTTTTCCCTTTTGCTCATTTGTTTTCTTTCTTAAATTCCACATAGGAGTGAAATCATATATGGTATTTGTCTTTCTCTGACTTATTTCACTTAGCATAATACTCTCTAACTCCATCCATGTCATTGCAAAAGGCAGGATTTCATTCTTTTTATGGCTGAATAATATTCCATTGTATATATATATATACTACCTCTTCTTTATCCATTCATCTATCAATGGACACTGGGCTGCTTCCATAATTTGGCTATTGAGATGTAGAATACTCTTACTACATTTTCTCTTCTTTTTTTTTATTATGTTATGTTAATCACCATACATTACATCATTAGTTTTTGATGTAGTGTTCCATGATTCATTGTTTGCGTATAACACCCAGTGCTCCATGCAGTACGTGCCCTCTTTAATACCCATCACCAGGCTAACCCATCCCCCCACCCCCTCCCCTCTAGAACCTTCCGTTTCTCAGAGTCAATAGTCTCTCATGGTTCATCTCCCCCTCCGATTTTCCCCCCTTCATTCTTCCCTTCCTGCTATCTTCTTTTTTTTTTTTTTTTAACATATAATGTATTATTTGTTTCAGAGGTACAGGTCTATGATTCAACAGTCTTGCACAATTCACAGCGCTCACCATAGCACATACCCTCCCCAATGTCTATCACCCAGACACCCCATCCCTCCCACCCCCCACGTTATTACATTTTCTAAGTGCTGTAAAATATACAGAAGATTTGATAGCACTTAGGAATGATAATAGAGCATTCCACAATAGACAGTTTTAATAAGAACTTAAAGGTCTTGAAAAACTCTGAACAGTTGTACATAAAAGATGACATGCTGCTCAGGAGGTATCCATCTAAACATCATTGAAATCGGCTCTCTGGCAGCAACTACATCCTGGAAACATTCTCAAGGCTGCCAGGAGAAGGGATTGCAATCATCAGTGATGAGAAAATAACTAAATTTTGCCCTTTAAATTTGAACCTGCTCCCCGAAAGCTCATAAGTGCTAGAAATGTCCTGAATTGGTTGGCTATTCTCCCACATTGTAAAAAAAAAAAAAAGGTTAAAACAAACAAAAATCCTTTAGAAAAGGGGCTGGGAATGTAGAAATAACCATTTCTTTCTATTGGAGTTTGAGCATCTTAGGGAGCTGGCATTGTGCACGATGTACCAATCTCATAGCATCACAGTATCTGTCGTGTGTTTATACCAAGCTTTCATATCATCCTCTTGTTTGATCCTCTCCATGATACTGGAAGAATAGGCAAGATAATCATTAATAGCCATTTTTCTGATGGCTCAGATGATCAAATAAGATGACTGAGTGTGAAAGTGCATTGTAAACTGTAAAGAGCCCTAGCAAAATGTGCTTATGAAATGTATTCTTCCTATTTCTAAAAAGAATGTGTAGCGGTTTTAGTGTTAAGGGGCATTCTTTATAACAGCTTCGTTGAAGTATAATAATTGACATACAATGAAATTCACATATTTCAAAAATACAGTTTGGCACATACATGCATACATACAGCTGTGAAACCATCACTACAGTCAAAATAATGGACATGTCCACCTCCCCCAAAAGCTTCCTTCATACTCCTTTTGTGATCCCTTCCTCCTACCCCTCCCTTCTTCTCTCCCCAGGCCACCACTGCTCCACTGTCTGTCAGATTAGTGTGCATTTTCTAGAGTTTCATATAAATGGAATCATATATTATGTATGCTCTTCCTTCCTTGGTATAGACTCAAATTTCCATTTGATATCATTTTCCCTGTGCTTGAATTTCCTTTAACAATTTTTATAGTGCAAGTCTGCTCCTGATTAATTCTCTCAGCATTTGTATGTATCAAAAAGAACTTATTCCACCTTTCTTTTTTGAAAGATACGTTCCCTGGATGTAGAATTCTGGGTGGACAGTGTTTTTTTGTTGTTTTTTTTTTGTTTTTCTCTCAGATGTTACTTCATTATCTTCTTGTTTGTATTGTTTCCAACAAGAAATATAATGTTATCTTTTTGTTTCTCTGCACATGTCTTAAGTCTATGGAAGTTTTTAAGATATTCTCTTTTTTATTACTGGTGTTGAGAAATTTGATTATTATATGCCTGGTATAATGTCCTTCATATTTCTTGTGCTTGAGTTTCATTGAAATTCTTAGATCTCTGAGTTTTCATTAAATTTAGACATTTTTCTGCCCTTATTTCTTCAAATATTTTTTTCTATTCCCTCCCCTCTCTCCAGTCAGGGCCCCAGTTAGGCTATAGTAGGCCCCTTGAAGTTGTCCCACATCTCATTGGTACTCTGTTCATTTTCTTTCAGTCCTTTTCCTCCGTATTTCATTTTGAATGACTTATATTGCTGTGTCTTCAAGTTCATTAATCTTTTCTTCTGCAGTGTCTAATTTGCCATTGGTCCTATCAGTGAATTTTTTTCAACTCAGACATTGTACTTCAAATCTCTAGAAATTTGATTTTGGTTATTTTTTATGTCTTTTGTGTTACTAGTTAATATGGTTACATTTTCTCTAATTTCTTAAGCATATGAAATCCAATTATAATAGTTGTTTTTATGTCCTTGTATATTAATTATATTATCTATATCACTTCTGGGTCCATTTTGATTGGTTAATTTTTTAATCTTTCTTGTGATTTTCCTGCTTATTTGAATATTGGGTAATTTTTTTATTGGATACCAAACATTGTGAATTTTACCATGTTTGGTACCATATATTTTTCATTCCTGTAAATATTCTTGAACTTTGTTCTGGGATGCAGTTAAGTAACTTGGAAAAATTTTTATCCTTTTAGGTCTTGTTTTTTAAGCTTTGTTCAACAGAACCAGAGCAGGATTTAGTCTAGGGCTCACTTTTCTCCACTAACTAAGGCAAAACCCTTCTGACTACTCTACTCTATACTCTGTGAATTATTCTCCTTTTTTCTGCTCTGGCTTATGGGGAAAGGAACTATTCCCAGCCCCATGTGAGCTCCAGGGATTGTTGCCTCTAATGCACAGGTAGTTTCTGCATACACACACACACAGACATCAATGTGCAGCTAAATAATAATGGAGGACCCTCTGCAGATCTCTGAAGTTCTTTCTCTGTGTAGCTTTCTTCTTTCCAGTACTCTGCCATATAAATTCTGTCTGCCATAGTCTCCCTGGATTCCTAGTTCAATCTCTTCAACTCAGGGAGATCACCATGCTTTGACTGAGCTCCTCTCCCTGTCCTAAGGCCTGGAAACTCTCTCCATGTAATAAACTGGAGAAATCATAGGGATCACTTCATTTGCTTCTTGTCTCTCAGTGATCTCTGTCTTCATTGCCCAATGTCCAATGTCTTAAAAACCATTGTTTCATATATATTTTCCATATTTTTAGTTATTTAAGGCATGAGTTGGTCTGCAAGCTTATGCTGAGAATGAAGTAAAATAAATGTGTGTGGAAGCAGCTAGCTCCACTTCTGAAACTTAAAAAGTTAATAAAAACTTAATAAATGTTTCTCACATTTTCGTTAAGAGATTTAACTTGGGTAGTATAGCTGGCACAAAAAGTGGAAGTATGGACTTCAATCCTGGTTTTATGAATCCTGGTCTTATACCACTAGATTACAAGCACACTACCTCTTTTTTTTAAGGATCTCAAATTATATATCACATGGCTCACATACCACTGCCTATCATATCCATTTTTTTTCCAGAAAGAAAAAAGGTTCAGGGTTGCCAAATACATCTAGGAAACAATTTGGGGAATTGAAATGTCAAGCTGATCCATTTAAAGTTTATTAAAATTCTATATAGTGGTATGACTGACACTCCTGAAGTTATCCAAAGACACCACAGTTTGAGGCTACTTTTCCCATTCTTTCCAACCCATGGTGCCATATAAGGCTCATTCTTAATACCATTACCCCTAGAGCCTCCCTCTGCCAGAGGTAGGGTGGCAGATAGAGGAATAGAACTCCTATGAAAAGATTGACCCAACCCATAGAATAGTAAACTGTGATCAGAAATGAAACTATAGTCCAAGTTTTTTGATGGTTCACCTCGCTAGTAGTGGGGAGAGAATTTAGGATTATGTGGTCACTTGAAACTGCTACAACCACATTGGAAGCACTGAACTTGGAAAAGTACTTAACAGTGGTTCACCCACTGAGCCACTCTTGTACTCCTCTCTCTCCCTCTTGTGCACTCAGGTTACCGCATTCGCCTGGGCTCTAGCACTGACAAGAAGGACACAGGCCGGCTCCATGTTGATTTTGCACAGGCTCGAGATGACCTGTATGAGTGGGAATGCAAACAGCGTATGCTCGCAAGGGAGGAGCGCCACCGCAGAAGGATGGAAGAAGAAAGATTGCACCCACCATCCCCACCACCAGTGGTCCACTATTCAGATCACGAATGCAGTATTGTTGCTGAAAAACTAAAAGGTACAGAAAGCACTTGAGCTTTGTGATTAAAAGAACTCTTTTCTTTGGGGAAATTTAATAGATATATTTGTATTGTTGGCAGTTATCCTTTGAATTTCCCACTAACGGATTCTAAGCATTTCTTGTGTTGGAGTTTTGCAGATAGAGAGATGTACCTAGTAACTGAAGGACCAGAAAAATTTGTCCACACACCTGTGTCTCTACTCCTGCACTGCCTCAAGGGATGGTGTTTTTCTCTCCATACATAAGATGACTAGGATGAGATGCATTTTCCCCACTTTTCTACATCAGAGAATTTTAGCTGTGATTCATGACTTGGGACCTGTCAGGATCCCCTTTCATTATGGATAACAAGTTAGTTTTGAAATCTAAATCAGAATGATAGTTGATGTCACTCTGGAAAACTCTGGTAAAAATTCCCTTTCCACAGATGAGAAAATGGGGGCCCAGAGAGTGGTCACAGTGTCCATTTTTAGATGGCTCAGAGACTTAGCTACCACCAACCAAAAGATGACTTCTTTAATCACTTAAAATGGCCAACTTATTTCATATGGTGACTATGGAGACTTCGAAACATTGCTAAATCAGACCATTCTCCCTTTAGTTTTTGTTCCTGTTCCCCCTGCTTGACTCTCAGAGCCATTATTCTAATTTAACTTTAATTGCCCTGCCTGGTCTCCTGTGTTAGTAGTTCAAATCCAGTCTTTTTCATTCTCTAATTATGGTTGATTTTATTGGATGAATGCTGGTGTCCTATTGATCTTGTCGATGATACCAACCCGGCTCTAATGGTATGAATTTTCTGTGCTTCTTGTGCTCCAGACTCAGCACGATGCTGCTAATTCCACTTTCCAAATAGGTCTCATTCACCAAACTTGTTTGCAACATATAACCTAACGGATTCACACATTTAAGAAATCCTTCATTTGGATTGATTTTGTCTTCCTGTAAGAGAAGAGAGACACAGAGTGGAGACACAGAAACAATGGTACATTTTGAAAAGCTGGAATGGCTGAAAGCATTGGTAAACGTCATGTTTATAGGACACCAAACAAATCAGTTTAATTTTTTTTTTTAAAGAATGAATGTGCTGGTGTGTGGGCCTCATGCAAAAAATGAGCAGCAGACATAAAGATTGTATGCAAGTAATTAAATAAAAAGCTGTCCTAAAGGGGAGGATTACCTCTCATTATATGTCTGCACTGAAAAATGGCAAGAGGCAAGAAGTTCAAATCGCAGTGAGAGCTATTTCCACTGGACATAAGGGTTTCTGGCCAGACAGGGATGTGGAGCCCTAGAACAGGCCTTTAGTGGGATGCTAATGGATCTCTCTCTCTCAGGAGCCTCTAACAGAATATATAACTGCCTATCACAGGAAGCTGGACCAGAAGCTTTGGATAAGCTGTACTACTATTTTAACATCAGAGAATAACTCCTAACTAGCTGCAGAAATCTACTTGGAGGGTTCCTCAGGCAAGAGAATCAGGATGTGGAGAAATGTAGAAATAGAATGAATTACATCAAGATAGATTGTGACTGGGACTGAGTGAAAAGCCCAGGGCTGTGGACCGAATGCAGGAGTGATGCTATAAGAGGTCAAAAATACAAGTGCTGATGCCTAAAGAACTACCCGTGTAACTCTTTCTTAAGGCTCCTTCCAACACTATAATTTCATGGATCCAGGATAAAGTTACTATCAAATTCAAGTTAAATTCAAGACTCAGGTTTACTTTTCCTTATTAAAAAAACAGGTCTGGGGCGCCTGGGTGGCTCGGTTGGTTGGGCGACTGCCTTCGGCTCAGGTCATGATCCTGGAGTCCCGGGATCGAGTCCCGCATCGGGCTCCCTGCTCGGCGGGGAGTCTGCTTCTCCCTCTGACCCTCCCCCCTCTCATGTGCTCTCTCTCTCATTCTCTCTCTCTCAAATAAATAAAAAATCTTAAAAAAAAAAAAAAACAGGTCTGTAGGGTTCTGAAGTTCTCTCATTGCTAATTCCTACATTACACACCTGCACACACATACAATCAGAGAGGTTAAGAAATTTGCAATATGTGGGGTGCCTGGGTGGCTCAGTTGGTTAAGCGGCTGCCTTCGGCTCAGGTCGTGATCCCAGGGTCCCGGGATCGAGCCCCGCATCGGGCTCCCCGCTCAGCGCAGAGCCTGCTTCTCCCTCTCCCTCTGCCTGCCTCTCTGCCTACTTGTTCTCTCTCTCTCTCTCTGTCAAATAAGTAAATAAAATCTTAAAAAAAAAAAAAAATTTGCAATATGTGAAAACTCTGATCGGTAAACTTTTACTCTAATTAATAAACTCTGTATCAGTAAAGAAAATGTTTTTTAAAAAAGAAGAAACAATTCTTTCTTTTTTTTGTTTTGTTTTATTTTATTTTATTATGTTATGTTAGTCACCATACAGTACATCATTAGTTTTGATGTAGTGTTCCACGATTCATTGTTGCATATAACATCCAGTGCTCCATGCAATACGTGCCAATTCTCTTTCTGAAAATTCTTCATAGACTACAACCAGTCTGACTACATTTTGGGTCTTTCGTCCTTTCAGCCTGCCTGCCTGCTGCCTGTGTGTGCACGCATGGCTCTTCATCCTCTGCAGTTCATTTAACAACCACTTCCAACGAGCCATGGTGGGGTCTCCTTGCCAGCATGTTGGGTAGGTAGAGACATGGTTACTTTTGATGATTTGAAAAATCCTCTTTTTTCAGATGATTCCAAATTCTCAGAAGCTGTACAGACCTTGCTCACCTGGATTGAACGAGGAGAGGTGAACCGTCGCAGCGCCAACAACTTCTACTCTATGATCCAGTCAGCCAACAGCCACGTTCGCCGCCTGGTGAACGAGAAAGCTGCCCATGAGAAAGACATGGAAGAAGCAAAGGAGAAATTCAAGCAGGCCCTTTCTGGAATTCTCATTCAATGTGAGTAGAAGTCAGAGTTCTGTAGAAAGGTGAGAGGGCGCTTCACTTTGGCACCACGTTCTCTGCAAGGGAGCCAGGCCTACAAAACCAGTCTGTGTTGAGGGGCAAGGATCCCTTCTTCACTGCCTTGTGCTCTCTTTATATTGCCAAATGCATGAGCTCCAATTTAATGGGATATATGTGGGCACCTCCTATATTTATTTTTGCTGGTATATCTCCTTCAGCACCTTAGAAACATCAACAGCTAGACCACCATCCTGTGCTTTTACTTTTGCTTGTTTTCAAAGTAAGTTATAAGCAGCCTCAGACCTCAGTGGAAAGTTTGGTATTTCATTGCTAAAGTTAGAATACAGCATCAGCATTTATAAGCTTCTCTGCTTCAGATTTGCATCATTATCATATTAAGTTTTTCAGGTACTACATTTTAGTGAAAGTGTAATTATGTTTCCCAGGGTAATTGAATAGAAGCCAAATTTGCTACTTCTACCTGTTGTTTCTTCAATTTTTTTTTCTGGATGTTGTAGACACTGGGCGGGATGGGAAGCCGCCAAAATGGCCATTTTCTTTCCTTTTTTTTTATTATGTTCAGTTAGCCACTGTTAGCACATCATTAGTTTTTGATGTAGTGTTCAGTGATTCATTAGTTACGTATAACACCCAGTGCACATCACAACACGTGCCCTCCTTAATACCCATCACCCCAAAATGGCCATTTTCAAAAAGAAGTACTACTCCTGGCAGTTCTTTCTGACCACAGGTCCTGTCCCCGTGCTTTAATAAAACCACCCTTTTGCACCAAAAAAAAAAAAAAAGAAGAAGAAGAAAAAGAAGTACTACTCCAATCCTTTCCTAGGTCTCTTAAATGAGAGAGATTAGAAAAATTCTCAAGTGATGCTTGTAGTTCAACATATTATACAATTATGCACTCATATATTTTGAGTAAGGAACTATATTCACCTTAAGAATAAGGATATAGTTTTATGATTTGGCTTTTAAACAATTAAGGCCCACTCTTCTCATATGTGACTTCCCACACTTGACTCATACATAATTAGGATTAAGGAAGAGTTCTTTCATTTTTCCATTTTTATTTTGAAAATATATATGGGCATAGAATCCAGGCAGAGAAAACACATGTTTTTAGGACTTCAAAACAAATAGGAAAAAAGAGCAGCAAGCATCATGGGACTATAAATCCTTAAATCATTCATAGACAGGGTACAATCAGGGCTGTAAAGAAAAAAAAATAACACCTCTGGATTTTCTTACTGTGAATACCCACCCAGGAAGAGGCTCTTGTCCTTCTATTCCTCCCCCGTCTCTTCTATTCTTCTCGTGAACTGATTAGGTAAAAGCACCAGAATATTTGTACACATTTCTCCATTTGACATTTTTTAAGAGACTCTGGAAAATATGCTTTAGAACTGCACTTGCAAGTATTCTTCCATGAAACTTCTATTTCTGCAGTCAACGAGCCCATCTACATAGACTTAAAATAGATTCCATTCATCTTAGGTTCCAATTTGATGCTTCTGGTTAAATATACCTCAGAATAACAAAAGGATGGATTCTGTTGAAGTGAAGTATGCAAGCTCATTTTGGAAGGCTAGTTTATGAAAGAAACCTGTGGTCAGAAGGAGCTGGTACAAGTTCGCCGCTCGCTGGGTCATTAGTACTAAATCACATTCACCACAACTCTTGCCTCACCTGCCTGGATGAATACAGACTGCCTATATTAAAACTTTAGTCACCATTTCACCCCAAACCTTCTGGAGTTCCCTTTATTTGTTCTCCATACTGATATCTCTGCCTTTGAGTCTTCTTTAAGATCGCAGTACCCCAACACATGTAACCTTTTTGGAGCACAACCATAGCCTAGTGGTGTCATACGAGAAGATACAACAAGCCTGATGCTTCTCTTATTTCTTTTCTCCTTTCTTTTGCCACCCTTGGATGATACTCCGACCTGATTTGACTGCTGATCTGATGCTGCAGTTGAGCAGATAGTAGCTGTGTACCATTCTGCCTCCAAACAGAAGGCATGGGACCATTTCACAAAAGCCCAGCGTAAAAACATCAGCGTTTGGTGCAAACAAGCTGAGGTTGGTAACTTTTTACTCTGGTAGCCCCTCAGGGTGACAGTTTCTTTCTTTAACAAGTTATTGATTTGGAGTTTAGTCAGAATTAAATAGTGCCAAGCTCCCATGGTCACAACAAGGCTCTAATGAAACACTAAGATGTGTTCTATTGCCTGTCACTGTGACCAGACCATGTGCTGCCAAAGGGTAATAAATGTGCACATGTTGTCTTGAATGCATTCTGCTGGATGAAAACCTGAGTAGTGAAAATATAGCTGTGATAATTTGAAGTTTACTTCTCTAAGCTAGCTAGTCTTGAGTACAACGATAATTACTGACCCGTGTGTCTAGTGTTAGTAATATTAGGGCTGTCTTACATTTATTAGAGCATCTTGACAGTCGAGGCTGGTGTTACATTGGGGCATTGAAATTTCTGAGCCTCTTTGATCAAGTCCACTCAGCCATCTTTATAAGTGGCAGCTTTAAAGGTAACAGAAGACTCTGATTTCAGATTAAGGTTGACACCCAGCTCTGCGCTTGTGCTCAGGTGACTAGCATAGAATATGTCTGAAGTGATTAGGTTGCTATCCTGAGTCTAAGATTTAAAACCAAGGTGGGAGGTTTATTTTCACGGATCTGCCTTTGGAATGGTGATACCTATACTTCAAGTTCTTCTGTTCCTATGGGCAGCTTCCTTACCCAGCCCCTGACACTTTTGATCTGTGTATGCAGCAACTTTTTCAACTTTGTCTCTGAGTCCTCTTTGCTAGTGTGGTAGCAGGTTGGCATAGTCCTTAACGTTTATATAGCATTTGTAAGGCATTTACATTTTATAAAGCACTTTCACGTCAGTTGCCTCACTTACGTGAGCTTCCCAGTAGATGTGGTATAGTGGAAAGAGCACTGGATCTGGAGTCAGAGAATCTAGATTGCAGCTCTGACACATTGCAGCTCTGCAACTTTGACCAAGTTAGTGAGTCATTCTCAGTCTCTATTTCTTCACCTCTAAATTGGAGATAATAATGAAACCAGTCTTACAGGATTAAATGAGATAAGAGATGTGTAGAGTTTGAAAAATGTAAATGCTATATAAATGGCAAATAGTAATATTTCAGTTTATCATTCATAACTCCATAAGGGATAATAAGTAGGTATGATAGCCATGGTTTACATGTGAAGAAACTGAGACACAGAAATGTGAAGGGATGTACACAAATTACACAGCTAGTAAGTGATCAGTTCAAGACTAGAAATTCTTCTCAGAGTGCTGGTATAAACTGCCTTGTGCTCTTGAGTGAGTCATTTAATCTTTGTGGACCTCAATTTCCTAACCTATAAAATGAAGATAGCAATCTATTCTTTCTGTCCTTCATGAGAACATATGACATAGTTTGTGGGGCAACAATTTGAAAACTGTGAAGAGCATTTAGAGGAAAATAAGCCAAACCGTGTTCATCAGTTCTGGCTCAGCAAAGGGATCTGGGAGTCACTGAGGAGAACTCCCTGAAGACATCAGCCCAATGGATAAGTAGAGTCATACAAAGCTAGTAATGTTTTAAATTATTTTTAAAAAGAGAATTAGGAACAAAACAGGGAGCTACTGTCATATAGTAGCACAAGATGATTTTAGAGATTTTATTTATTTATTTGACACAGAGAAAGAGCACAAGCAGGGGGAGCAGCAGGCAGAGGGAGAAGGAGAAGAAGGATCCCCGCTGAGCAGGGATCCCAACATGGGGCTCGATCCCAGCACCCTGGGATCATGACCCGAGCCGAAGGCAGATGCTTAACCAACTGAGCCAACCCGGTGCCCCACAAGATGATTTTAGACTCCTAAGGCTACCCGACTTTGTTGAGCCTCAACAAACAAAATTCAACATTTCAATTCAAACGTTAACTGAGGCACATTCTCTGTCTCAGGCATTATGACAGGCAATTCAGAACAAGATGGTCTTTGCCCTCAGGGAGCTAGAAAGGTAAAGAAAGTGATCAAGGGTGGGGAGTGGAGTTTAATACCCTAAATTGAAAATATCCAAACTCTTTAGTCTGAACAGTTCAGAAGAATAAAGGTTGAGGAAAAATGCTCAATATGTCTTATAATTGTAGAAAAGCAGTATTAAGGCTCTACTTTTCTTCAGTACACATACACGTGTATCCATTCTCAGGGTTGGAAGAAGCTGTCTGAACTGCCCCACCCGATGCGGAAAGCCCTGCCAGTACAATAATGTCTTTTCATAGGAGGAAGGGAGCCTCTGATTTGAGCACTGACTTGCCCAGACCACAGCCCTTCTATAAATGACTTTGCAATAAAATATTTCCATGAATATTATTTATCAAGGCTCTCTGTAGAGAACTATAGTCCTATCAAGCCTACCTCTCTGGTGGGTACATACTTGAGTTTAATTACCTTCTCAGTAAAGATAGCCAGTAAGCTGGACATTTCTCTGGGCCTGTAAAGAATGAGAGCTATCCACCCTATCACCTAATATTGTAGCAGAGCTTCCTTGGCAGAGTGATGAGGATAAAGGACATGGCTAGCATGACTTGCCAAGAGCTACATGTTTCATAATGTATTTTGTAGACTTCATGGAAACCCAGAAAAATGCTTCCTGCCTACTGGATTGGACTAAATTAAGGGCTACCTTGAATACCTCAATCTTGATAAGTAAAACTACTGAGAGTGGAACATAGCTCATGACCTTTTGGCATTGCATTTCCTAAACCTAAAAAAGACCTCTTCTACTTTACATGGGTACCTCTTTAAATCATGGCTTTTTTTAACCTCTGCATACTTTAACTTGGTAATAGGAAACTCTAGAAAGTGACAAGCATCCTCTTAAATTGGGGCTGTCTCTGAGCACCCCGGTGAGAACCAGAGCATCTCAGTGACTTAAATCAACTAGACTGGCTTTTTTTGGCCTGTGGTTCAAAGCTCCAACTCCTAAGTCAGAGGTTTCATCAAGGTGAAAGTTTCTGACTTGAGCCTTCTTTACCAGTTGCCTTTGAGAATGACCTAGCCAGTAACCTCCTCATATCACAAAGTACCTGCTCTTTGTCTTATTGTCATCCTACCAGCAGCCAACAGTGCCTTCCTCTGCTGAGAGTGGGGTTATGGATTAAGAAGGAAAAGTCCCCACCTTCAGGGAGCTCAGGCTCTCACCTTGGTAGCATATGCTGGGCATACTAGTTTGCTAATGAGTCTTTCATTGGTTTACTTTCCTGATTTGTATGTGTGTGAGGCTCCTGCTGATACAATTGAAAAGGGTAATAAAAGAAAGCTAAAGTTTCTCTCTTTACTAAAAACTCTACAGCGACTTTACTGATAGCTCTCTCTATCGTAGGAACTCTTTTTCTATAGAACCATTTAAAACCTGTGTGTTTCTCTCACTGAGAAGCTGGCCTAGATTACAAGCTAAACCTTGGATGATATATAGAAACTAGAGCCATAGCAATAGGCACTAGAACAGACCCCCTTGCATCCTCCCCAGTATGAGATTTTATAACATCAGGCTAGAGGAAAAGGGACTTGACAATTGCTAGCATTCTTGTAAAATGAGATACTATGATTGCTAAAATAACTTTCTCTCTAGATTTCCAAGCCTACCATTCCAAACTCTGAAGAACTGTTTGCAGATACATTGTTCAAGTCATCTGCATACCCTTGTTTTAGCACCCATGTGTTCTAACACTAGCTATTAGCTTTCAGCCATCAGAATACCTATTAACACGATTTGGATCAACCTTATTTTTATTTCCATATGTATCATACAATAGGCATTAAGAACTTGTGTTTGTGCTTTGCTTCATTGTACTGAATGATAGCTCAGATTCAAATTTCTACATAAATGTAGAAGCTATCTGTTCCTTTCCATTCCTTCATCTGACCCCTTCCTCACCAAGTATCCTGTTAATGTTGAAAGTCTAGGTAAGTACAGTTTTGTTACACAATTAACAAGGAACTTTGCATAACTTTTTGTGAAACTGTAGAGTTAGATACTTAATGTGCAATGATTGTGATTTGCTTACTTTATGATAAATTAAAAATGTCAGCTGGCACAAAGGTGATTCTGTCTGTGCATTTTCCTGTCTCGGGTTTCAGTTTAATTCTACGTAAAAGTGCTTTCTCCTCCATTGTGGAGCAGTGTGTGAAGTTCTGAGCATCAGAAAAAGTTATCATTAAAACAGACTCAAAGCCATTATAATGCATTTTTAGAAATCACTAACAGTTTGCTGTTTAAATGAAAAATCTCACAGGTTGACTGTGGGCAGGAGAATAGAATAGAAACTTCAGGAGTGCTATCTTTCCATTTTCAATATAGTCTTTCAGTGACAGAGCCCACTCAATTTCAGGTAGAGATTTACAAATGAAAACTTCTGGAAAATGTTTTTGCCTGCCATTGCCACTCTTTTGGTTTTAGCCCTAGATCCAAATGTCAGGATGGGAAAGGGGGCAAATCTGGGAGGCAGCGACTTCCCTTGCTGCCTGCACTTCAATGGCTCAGAGTCCTCCTCCTACCTGCACCTATGCCCCAGCTAGGTAGAGTGCCTTCCTTAGGGAAATGTTACCTTTTGGTCCTTCACTCTGAAGGTATTTGTTAGGGTTTGCTTCCCAAAACAGAGCTTTTTTGACCCAACCAGAAAGACAGAAAACAGGTATCTTAGATACCAAGTGCTTTAAAGGTAAGGCTTTCATAGAATTAAAAACTTACTTGCTTTACTTAGGGGTACTGTCATTTACTAAATGCTCCTCGTGAGTTTACCTTAATATGGTACCCTATAACCTCTGATGTTCTCTTTGCCTTTGTCCCATTCATGTGACTTCCTATTGGATATTTATAGGAGAGTAACTATACAGAGCTTAGTTTCTTTGTAGCTAAGGGGGATTGCCTGGTGGTTAGAAGGCTCTAAGCTCTGCCACTTTGCATGCCTGACTGAACAATGGAGAACAAGGGTCCCCTTAGTTTTTCTTACCCTCGTTTCATTTTCAGCTAAAGGAACTGGTAACTCTTGTTCCTGAAGTATTTTCAGGTGTTGAGGTAAAATTTACCCATAGGTCTTTCTATTTCTGGAGATTTTTTGAAGATGTGAAAGACCTCTAGATAAGCTGTATCACTTAGTTATTGAACTTTTTATACTTCTCAGAAGAGATTATGCTTTCTTGCCCAGCTGGAAGCAGAAAGATGTTTTGTGGGTGCTGAGCAGCTACAGGGCATGTCTTAGCTCTCAGTTAGATCTTCCTGCCCTGGGACATTTCCTTAGAAGGAACACAATTTACTCTTCTGAGAAACACAATAACTTTCCTAGAGTCAGATGACATGTTTGTGAATTGAAAGTTGGTCTCTGCTTACACCCTCCGACAGGCTACATTTTTGTTAGGCAACTAGGAGAGCCACAACTTTTCCTGATGCCACAAGTTGTACAATAGTTGAATTTGCCAGTGTCAAACCTCATTATAATCACCTTGCCAGTAACTGTTCTTTGATGGTAACTGAAACCCAGACTCCTGAGACAGAATGAATTCTTAGAAATGAGCAGTTCCTTTCTTCTCTATGCAATGAGTTTGAATAAGACATAGCAAATCTCTCTCTTGACACAGCCCTTTAAATTTCATTTTTCTCAAGCAAGTCACTGTTTTCTTCTATTTTAAGTAATGCCCCTGCAGCACATGAGAGATGCTATGTTGGTAGTTCTATTTTCTAGTACTTCTATTTTTCTATTACCTCTTAACTACCAGTGAAAATACTGAATGGCTTGTGTTTTTAAAAGGGACTTTTATTTATCTGTAGCTAAAACTTATCTTGATATAGAAATTATTACTTTTCCCGGTAAAAGGCATAAAAAATGAGAATATTAGTTGAGATAGTGATTAACTATAGCATTAATTATTAAGAAATCCACTTGAAGTATTTATAATCCCCCTAAATTGAAGCAATTTTCACCAGACAGCTTTGGATATTTCCTGTATTATGGCCCAATTGGGGCTAACATAGGCAAGGAATTCTCAGCTCAGTGCTGAGAAGCCTCTGATAGGCATTAAGTGGCCTCTAAATGATTGCAAGCTGCTCCAAAATGCAGTTTTCATGCTGACTTTTTTTAAAGTGACTTTTCCAGTGTGATCTCCATCATTTCCAAAGTTCTCCATGCCTACATGAAGATCTGTGTTTACAGCTTGGTAGCACTTCCCTCCAGCCTGAGGAAACTTCTTCCACATTTCTTATAGTGCAAATCTTTGGATGACAAATTCTTGCATTTACATTTGTCTGAAAATAGATTTAATTCATCTTCATTCTTGAAAGAATTTTTCTCTGCTTATAGAATTCTGAATAAACAGTGATTTTTATTTCTTCCTGTACTTTAAAGATACTGTTCCCCTGACTTCTGGCCTATATTGTTTCTGAAAGAAATCAAAGTATTTGAATTGTCTCCTTGTATATAATGTGTTGTTGTTGTTTTTTTTTCTGGATGCTTTTAAGAGTTTCTCTATTCTTCCAGTTTTACTGAGAGTAGAACTGACATACAGTACTGTATAAGTTTAAGATGCACAGCATTATGATTTGACCTACATGGATTGTGAAATGCTTATCACAATGAGTTTAGCTAACTAAAGAGTTAAAGAGTTTCTCTTAATGTTTTAGTTTCAGCAATTTGACTATGGTGTTCTTAGACATACCTTTTTCACACATCTCCTGCTTGGGGTTCACTGAGCTCTTTGAATATATAGATTAATGTATTTCATCAAAGTTGAGACATCTTCAACTATTTTTTCTTCAAGAATCTTGAATCATTTAATCTCTCCTCTCTGTGATTCTAGTTAGTTTCTCTCTGTTCTTTAGATTGGATAAATTTGTATTGTTCTCTCTTTAAGTTCTCTCTTTGTTCTGCCATCTTTATTGTAAAGTTAGACTCATCCAGTTACTTTTATTTTGGATATTATATTTTTCAGTTTTAGAATTTCTATTTGGTTCTTTTTTAAAGTTTCTGTTTCTCTGCCAAGATTTCCTATCTTTTCATTCATTATGAGATGTTTCCTTTCCATCACTGAGATAGTTATAATAGCTGCTTTAACTCCTTATCTGCTAACTGCCATATCTGGTTCATTTCAAGTTTGATTTCTGTTGATGATCTTTTCTCTTGAAGATGGGTCATCTCATCCTAGTTCTTTGTATGTCAGGTAACTTGGGCTTGCCTTTGAATATTTTGCTTTTAAGGTTCTGATTATATTCTGTTATGTTCATTTTGTTATGTTCTTCCAAAGAAGGTTGACTTTGGTTTCTTTGGTTTTAACAATTTACTTAATTGAATTTAAGCTGGAAATTATGTCTCTTAGATGGCAGCTCAAATCTCAGTTCAGTTCTTTTAGACTTAGCTGTGTTCTTTGGAATCTGTCCTGTGCTTCCATGGTTCAAGGGTCATGCAGAAATTTGAGTAGATATTATAGGCAGAATTTGGATCTCTCTCCCTCTTTGGCTCTCTTCTTTCTGGGATCCCCTCCTCACTTTCCTGTGGCTATCTCCTTGATTTCTGTAGGATGTAAAGACAAGGTTTTCTATTAAAAATGTAGCTACTCTGGGCGCCTGGGTGGCTCAGTTGGTTAAGCGACTGCCTTCGGCTCAGGTCATGATCCTGGAATCCCTGGATCGAGTTCCGCATCGGGCTCCCTGCTCGGCGGGGAGCCTGCTTCTGCCTCTGACCCTCCCCCCTCTCATGTGCTCTCTCTCTCTCATTCTCTCTGTCTCAAATAAATAAATAAAATCTTTAAAAAAAAATGTAGCTACTCTGTGAGCTGCTATCAGACTAAAAGGCCCTTAAAAACTGAGAGACCCACATCCTTCTTCCAAGTGTCAGCCACTCTTTAGGATATGCCTGCTTTTGTCTGCTCTCCAGTGCCATCAAGTAGTTAGGGGTTTGGCTTGGTTTGATTTTGTGTTTTGTTCAGAGTATAGTTATTATCCATGGAAGGGTTGATCTGATTGAAGTTCACTCCTGACAGCTCATTTTTGCTGTAACTTCTAAACGTGCAAAAGTTAGATTAAGAGTTCTATTGAGTAAGTCTGTAAGTGGAGAGGGAAGAGGATGGAAAGATGCAAAATTAAAGGATTTGACATGGGAAGGTGAAAATGGCAGAACCCTTCAAGGAAAGTCCAGAAATCCATGTAAGAGGTAAAAGACCTTTCATGACCAACAGTACTTTCTAATATAGGATGGATATAAGAATCATCAACTGCCAGAGCTCTGGATATGGAATGAATGCCTTATGGAAGACAATGTTAACAGTCTGCTTTGTCTGTCAAGAGAGTTTCAGCCCCAATGTGCCCCTTTGTCCTTGCCTTAAGAGTACTCTGAAGTTTTTTCATATGTCAAAAAACCCTGCTTTATCTTATCCTTAACTCTGTTCATTTCTTCAACATTTTCAAAGCTTTCCCACCAACAAAGCATAACTTTTAACCTTAGGAAATTCGCAACATACATAATGATGAATTAATGGGAATCAGGCGAGAAGAAGAAATGGAGATGTCCGATGACGAAATAGAAGAAACCACAGAAACAAAAGAAACTGAGGAATCAGGTAAAGATAATTCTGTTTTGTTTCATTTAACTAACATCTACTTGCAGGGATGATATTTTGAAACTTCTAACATCCAGTAAGTTATGGGCAGAAAACTATAAGTCTGGAACCAGCTAGAAACAATTGGTAAAGCCATATAAGTACACAGTGGCTGAATATCAACCCTGTGGCTAAGGATCTTTTTATTCATTCCCATCTTCCATTACAGTGCCGAATTAAAAGAGGACTTTCTTCCCTTAGGAGGGCTAGACATTTAGGCAGCACTGTTCTATACTTGATTTGGATTTGTTAATAGTATGTTCTATAGTAGGAATCATAAGAGAGCTTACACATAAATAGACAACTAGCCAAACATTTTAAAAAGTAGTTAGATCCCTACATCCCGTATACCTTACACCAGAATTAGTAACAGATGGATTTAAGATTCAAATGTAAAAAAAAATAAACATAGCAAAAGAAATTCTGGAAAATATAGGAGTTGTTTATATAATTTGGGATGAAGTTCTCCAAAGATAAAATTATAAAAGATACTTTTAATAAATTTCTCTTCCTATAAGTTAAATATTTTTCTTTAAAGAATCACAAAATTAAAAGAGACTCTACCAACTAAGGGGAAATATCTATAATATATGACAATCTACCTACCTGCTGACTTTTATTGTGGTTACTTAGGGGTTTATTGGGAACCAAACAGGAGTCCACAGACAGATGTTTGGGTAAAAGCTTTTGCTCTTACTTAGTATAGTCAGGACCTCACCATGAGATAGGCCACAATGTGGATCCCCAGTGGAACTCATAAGGCAAACCTGTTGAACAATATGACACTATACCACCTTTCAATTTCATAGCAAACCAGGGAGAGAATTACCAGAAGGGAGATAAAAATATCAGCCAAAAGACCAGTATTTTCAGGTAAGCCATTCTAGACAGTCTTAGGAGTCAGTAAGGTACAGTGGACAAAGCACTGGACCTAAAGTTAGAGGACCTGAGTTCTAGTCCCAACTGTGTTCTTCTTGACTCAGGAAGGACTTCTGTCCCACTGAGCTCAGGTTCCACCCTTGTAAGTACATTATACAACCATCTAACAGGAATGTTGGGATGGCTAAACAAATTCATTCATTCATTTAATAACTACTGCATGACAAGCACTGTGCTAGACATTAGAGATATTGTAGTAAACTGTCCCTACTGTGTGTGTGTGTGTGTGTGAGAGAGAGAGAGAGAGACAGAGACAGAGACCGACAGAGAACTGGTTGATTATAATGCAAATCAGAATTTCTTGGTTTCAGTACTTGCATATTGAAGTCAGCAGCTTTATAGCCACTTGAGTGGTCCTAGAATCTTCACTCCATGAACAGAAACTCTTAAGGAAAGAAAGCTATCAACTCAGACTTTTAAAAAGGCATTTGTAGCTGTTACATCTGAATTTCCTCTATTTCTGCCATATGTTAGATCCCTAAACATCTAAACCTCCATATATATTGAATAAATCCTTTGTAATCAGTAGATAGTTAGCATTTTCAGAACAGTGAACTAATTACTGCAAACACATACTATAAACTTATAGCTAAAAAAACAAGAGTTTCATAATAATTGAGTTATTCAAATTAGTTAAGTGCTTAGCCAAGATGTTTTATAGCTGACTAATCTTTGACTTATAGAACTGTCTCCATCTCAGTATCTGCAGTATTGTATACAGCATTAATCCAGTGTTCCCCTGAAATTAACGTGACCATCAGTTTGAGTATTTGCTTGATAAATTGCTGAATTTGAGGAGTTATTCAGCAGGGGGGTGTATGGGAGATTCAGATTAAATGCACTTACTAGTGTTATATAATTGCATTTTGCTTCTGTATCTCTTTTGAGTTAAAAGCTGTATTGGCTACTGCACAGAATCTTATTCGTTTAGATCCTGGAAACTCCCTGACAGATCATCTTATAGCTATTTTCTTTCCTGTTCCACATGCCAGGATCCTGCTTTGTCAAATAAAGCTATCTACAATAGACTTAATGGAGCTTACCAAATAGCTTTTCTCCCAGAAGGTTTCAATTCATTTTAATTCAAGGACTTTTGTGCATTTTTCTTCCCCTCGATCGTATCTAATTTTGTTATCTTGCTTCTGTAGTAGTCAACTGCAGAAATCCTGCTCAGTGTGAGCCAGTAAGCAGGTCCTCAGGTTTTATCTAAATCAGCTACATGTTTTAGTTTCACGTGGTTCCAATTAAAAGCTTAAGCACTAGATCTCAGAGTTGTTTTTTTCTCTCCCCATGCTACCAAACTTGAATTCCAGGAGCCTAGAGCATGTGTCTGGTTAAATTCTACTTCCCAAAGAAAGTAAGAGTCACAGCTAGCCTAGCAGTCTCAGTTACCTTTCCTTGGAGTACCACAAAATTTCTATTCTTCCGGGGACTCTGTATTACCCAGCCCATATTTGTGATGCAGTACTGGAAACCTTGCCATGGAAGAAAGGACTGCTGTGCTCAAAGCAATGTGTTGAAGAGGGGAAATCACATCAAAGCAAATCATGATAGTATAAAACTATTTTCATTCTATTGTTAGCCATGATGGGAAGTACATGTGCCCAGTAAACCTAAGAACACCTGTTCCTTTTCTGCATCTATTGTCTGCCTTTTCCACTTAGACTAGTGGTTCTCAGATTTGGTATCTATAAGCATCATTGGGTTACCTTTAAAAAATAAGATTTCTGGGCTGCAGGGTTTGATTAAGTAGGTCTGTAATGAAGTTCAGGAATTTGCATTTTTTTATCAGGCATCCCTGTGTCCAGGGAGCACATTTGGAAAACATTGAGACTCATTCTCCTTCATTGTTCTAGCCAAAGTTTTCACTTCTCTTGGTTTCCAGTCTCCTTCCTTCCCTCTCCCCACCTCTCATTATTCCCTCTTTAAAAGTTTGATCAATTAATTAACCAGGACTGCATCCTATAAGCTTATGGAAATAGAGGTACAATATGTGTAAATTTACATAAATATAAGAAATACCACTTGGTTCTAACCTGTAAGGTACTGATTAGAATGCAGCAAGGCCAAGAGAATGCAGTGTGGCCAGAGTAGTTGCATTCAGTGAAAGCTGATTGGGATCTTGAAAGATGAACAGGTGGTATGGTGATTAACATAACATAATAAAATAAAATAAAATTTAAAAAAAAAGATGAAGGTTTGGATGAGGAGAGTAAGAAAGTATCTTGATGTGGAGGCAGGAGAGGAGAAGGAACATGGCTCAGAGAGAGAAATAAAGATGATGGGTATAGGGGGATAAAAGATTGAGTGGACAAGATGGATCCAGATTATGGGGAACCATGAATGCCAAGGTTACATTTACCATAATAGACAACATGGCACTATAAGCATGTCTCAGTCATGGCACTAGTATGATAAAAGCAACATGAATTATATATTTTAGGAAATAAATTTTGGAGAAAGAGAGACCTGCCAGAGACTTTTATAGGAATTTAGATATAAAATGACGAAGCCCAGGACTAGAGTGAAGGTAACAGGAACTGAGATAAAATAGTAAAATAAAAGGATGTAACAGAAAATATGAGATTAAAGATGCTAGGAGTCACTTCAGAAGAATAACTAAAGTCTTTGGCGCCAGATTGGATATAGATGATGAAGAAAGAGCAAGAACCTGAGATGAGGCTAGGTTTTCTAGTCTGGGAGATTGGAGGGTCAGTGGTCATATTAGTTCTCTAGGGCTACTGCAACAAAGTACCACAAACTGAGTGGCTTAAACAACAGAGTTTATTGCCTCACAGTTCTGGAAGCCAGAAGTCTGAGATTAAGGTGTCATCAGGGTGTATTCCTCTTGACGGCTGTGAGGGAGAATCTGTTCCATGCCTCTCTCCTAGCTTCTGATGGTTTGTTGGCAATCTTTGACACTCCTTGGCGTGTAGATGCATCACCCCAATCTCTGCATTCATGTTTACATGACATTCTCCCTGTTGGCGTGTCTCTGTGTCCAAATTTCTCCTTTCTATAAGTATACTAGTCCATAAGCCCACCCAAATGACCTCATTTTAACTTGATTACCTCTGTAAAGAGCCTATTTCCAAATAAGGTCACATACTGAGGGCTTCAACATAGAGTTTTTTTTGTGGGGGGGGGTGTTACAAATTAAGCACATACTAGTAACATTGACAGAAATGGACTGTTGCATGGGACTGATTTGTAGAATATGAGATCAGTTTCAGACAGTAGGTAGTTAGGAAATAAAGGATTTATATTCAAATCAGTGTTCAAGAAAGTAGAAGGAATAGAAGATGGTAGTACAGAGTTGTTGGCTGAAGCTTGGAGGATATGAATAAATGAATGTGAAAGACAAGTGAGAGAAAGAACAGCAAAGGGTTAAATACAGAACTTTGGTGGCTACCCACAGTAAGGGAGAAGGAAAGAAAGAGGAGTTTGCAGAGCAGTTAGAAAAAGAACAGTCTAGGAGCACCTGGGTGGCTCAGTCGGTTAAGCATTGGACTCTCAGGTCATGATCTCAGGGTCCTGGGATCGAGCCCCATGTCAGGCTCCACACTCAGTGGGGAGTCTGCTTGAGGATTCTCTGCCCTTCCCCCCACCCCCTCTCTAAATAAATAAATAAACAAACAAACCTTTTAAAAAAAAAAAGGGAAAGAGCAGCCTAAGAGGCTGGAAGAAAACTAGAAAAACAAGAATTTATAGAAGTAGGAATAATCAACATTATCAGATAATACAAAGAAGAAAGGAATTAAGGACAGCATTGAGCAAGAACTATTTTAGTAGGGTGATAGAGATAGGGGCCAGAACATACGGCATTAAGGAGAGAAAGTGGACACAGGCCAAAAAGTTGGGTACTGAGCAAAAGCAAATGCAGGCATTATAAATGGCAACTAGAATGGGTGACAAAGTTAAAGTTAAGTTGTTGTTTGTTGTTCAATAGAAAGGAAGGAGGCCATGGAGAGAGTGAGGTTGAAGATGCTTGAGAGTGAAAGAGTACTTATGGGTAATTATGG